TTCCTCCTCTCCATCCGGCGGGGTTGCCGGCCGCTCATCATCCTGCGGGCCCACATCACCATCTTCAGCGCTGCCTTTCACTTCCTTCTCGGCCTCGGTAACCTCCTTTTGGAATTTCGCGAAATCATCATCGACATCCGGAGCAGCAGCTGCACAGAAACCCAATGGATGAGAAGGGAGCCTTACAGAAATTCCGTTGCAGGCACAGCGCAGGGCAATGGCACTAACCTTGTCCAGATTGATCCTTTGCTGCTGTGACTATAGAATGTAACTCAGGGATCGATGAGAGCGGCATCCATTCCTTCCTCCCTTGTGCCCACAGCATTGTGCCCTCGTTGAGGTAACCGTTTGCAAAATGCTCTGCGAAGGGAGCAAAATTATGCTTCGTGTTCAGAGTTATTTGGGGCAAACATATAAACCATAGAATCAAAATTCTACAAGTTGAAAGGCGTGAAACCGAAACCTTCTGGGCGAGATTATCTACCCAACGATTCAACTTGAGAGATCCTGAATGAATAAAATAAGCAAGAGGCTTGCTTCATCATCAGGGAAGGCAAGCAATTCCGCCTAGCTCACGGACTCAACCCTAAGCGGCAAGGCCTGACCCCAGCAAGAACGCAAGCTCTAGCCGTGAAACGCACTTGACTCCTAGGAGAAGGCGGGAGAGGGTCACCTCGCAGCTCCACAAGCGCGTAGGGGCCAACGCCCTGCTGGTCCGGGCCGAGCACGTACCAGCCCACCTCGCCGGCGGCGGCCGCGCCGCTAGTCTCCATCTCTACGGGCACCTCTCCAAAGCCGGGACAGAAGGGGAAGCGGGTGGGTACTGAGGGGGTGGACGAGGACGCTATTTCGTGGGAAACGGGTGGCCGGCGGCGGGGAGGGATGGTGGCGGCGAGCGATGGAGAGGCGGCAGGGGTCCGTCAAGTCAAGCGGAAGCGGAACGACCGGTGGACGGGGAAGACTCGAGAATAGAAGAGAGCCACGTGTCGTATCTGGACGGCTGAGATCGCCCCCAACACCCGCGATCCAACGGTGGTGGGATTTCTGGGCTTCATTATCTGCCTTGACAAATTAGCAGCCCACTGGCTCACTGCTAGTGTTCGGGTTCGCCCTGTTTGGACTTTGGATTAGAAGAAACCCGTGTCTGATATTGGGTCTGTTTATTTGAAGTCAAATACCAGTACATTTCGAAAGCTTTTTCTGGCCATCTATTTGTAGTAAAAAAATGCAAAAATTATTTGTGCAGATTGTCTGAGATCTTGACAGTTATTAGGATCTAGCTTGTTTGGAATAGAACGACATTTTTTTATCAGATTCTTAAAGTCCAATCAGTTAACATGTAATTTATCATTAATTGACTATAGAAAAAAAATTGTGAAAGAATTTTCACTTATGAATTGCCCTTTTAATTTAGGGCCGGACAAAAGTGCTCCGACCGAACTCGTTTTCTTTTTAAAACAAAATTAACTTGATTTTGAATAACTTTTGGCTTTGTCTCTTTTGAAGTTGGGTCTCAAACAACTAAAAAAATGATAAATAAGAGTATGTTAATTGCGAAGAAAGCTCGAGAAAAAAAATGCAGTTGACTTATTATCCACCCCTATTTAAATTGGGCTGGTGGGATGTCTAACATTGTTGCATCACCTAAAATACAAAATTTTTTTGTTATTTTTAACGAGGGAGTGATGTTTTTTTCCGTGGAACATGCATGCATGATGAAACATGATGGCCAGAGATTCCTAAACACAAGAAATGGAGACCGGTAAACAAGGCTGGATATCTTGCAAATTCGTACTTTTTTTAACGAATCAGGCAGGAGAGCTGCCGACTATATTAAAAATGAGAAACCCAGATTGGGTAAATACAGCAGAGCAACAAAGACTCCCTAGAGAGTCAATCAACCACAACAACAACAAAGAGAAAAAACTCGGGCCGGTTGGATTGGGACCTCCACACGCGCTAAACTCAAACTCAAAGAGAGAGAAAAAAACTCTGGGCGGTCGGATTGGGACATCGACACGAACCGAATAGAGCCGGAACTCAAGAAGCTGCACACCGCACCGCCTCCAAACCACCATCAGCCGGGTCACCACATTGTATCGCCATCCCCTGGACGACGAAGACGCCAAGACAAAACGATGTCGTCACAGCTCACGCCGTCGTTGCCAACGAAGTCCCACACCGAGGTAGCCCGCTACGAAGCAGAGCTAGTTGCCGCCGGCCACTGCAAGCCGTGTAGCCGTACCGCAATCGAATCCGCTTGCGCCGCCTCTGGAGACGTTGTCCCACGCATGGATGAGCCACGCGCGGATGAGCCACTACCAAGTAGGGCTAGCCGTCGTAGTCTACTACAAGCTGCCGACACAATCATGAGCGGCTGCCTCTGGCACTCACCAAGTCAACCCCGATCACCGAGATCCATACACGCACCCTGTCGCTTCCGGCAACCTAGCTGCCCCACCGAAGGTAGAAGTGCCACACTCCAACTCCAGCAACCATCGGAGCGCCTCCTTGCACCGGGATGATCGCCGCTGTGCGGGACCGCCCCCCGCCACTCCACGTAGGTCACCTTGGCAACACATCTGCTAGCCGCCACCTCTCACGTCGGCCTCCACGCCAACTCCGTGGACACCACACACGCCGGCCTCCTTGCCATCTTCGTGATAGCAATTGGCACACGGTCCCGTTAGACCGTCGCCCTCCACTGGCAAACAGATGTGAAGCCCTCATTCGCTGCGTCAACACACTCATCCTGGCTGTCTTCCACCACCGTGGACACCGGTACCTCGAATCCTTAGGTAGGTCTCCACCTTCCTTGCCACGGCAGCAGCCGCCGCCACAGCCTGACAGGGCACCACCTTCCAAGCGACACCTCCGAGGAGGGGCACGACGCCACTGACGCCGTCGTCGCCTGACCAGAAGGTCAAGGTTATACACCCAAGAAGGAACACGCCGTGCAGGAGGAGAGGGCCTTTCGATAGACGCTTCCAAGGAAGTGAACGGCGCCCGAAGGCGTCGCCGTCATCGACCCAAAGAATGGGCAAAGCTTTCGCCATGGCGCCTTGTCCCCAAGCATGACAGTGGTCGGCCCGTCCTCGCTGCGGCAGCCTTCCCTGCTGAGCCCGTCGACAGTGCCGGCAGCCCCAGGTCACAGGAGGAACGGAGGACGCCTTCACTGTCTATGTCGCTGAACTGTGAGAGGGTGGTGTGCCCCGCTCGACCGATGTCTGCCTCGCCGCCATGACACTGCAGACACGAAAAACGAGCAGGACGGCGCTGTCCATGCCACCACGGTGTCGACGTCGCACAGCTAGAGCAGCCGCCCACACCACCATGATGTCTGACGGCGCACGCTGCTGGCAGCACCACCATTTGGCCGTCACCTCCGCTCCTCCCGCACTGCCGCCACCACGGCCTCCGTGTCCTGCACGCCGACAGCCCGGCGCCTCCGACGGCAGCGCGCCGTGGCCCTCAAGTTCGGTCCCTGCCTCCTCCATCAACCGTCCAGCCCAGCCCTGCGCAGATCCACCCGGAAGGCTGCCGAATCCACTCAAGGAGGCGCCGGATCCGGCCCCACGATGCCCCGCCGCAGTCGAACCTCGCCGTCACCGCCGCTCAACAGGCCGCCTCGCCCCGGCTGGCCGCCTCCGCCGATCCAGTCTGAGGAACAACGGATCCGCCCATGGGTACGGCAGATCCGGTCGTTGGAGCACCGGGGCAGCCTCCAGCAGGCCGGGGATGGGAACACGACGGCCGCCCGCACGACCGCTTGCGCCGCCTGGACGAAGAGCGTCCTGCCGCCGCCTTCCTCACGGGCCTGCGCCTCCGGGCACCCGCTCCGGCGACGGCAAGGAGAGAGAGAGAGAGAGGAGGAGGGAGGACGCTCGGCGGCGGCGCGGCAAGGAGCCCCCGTGTCACCTGCGGGAGCGACGCGGGGGAGAGAGATTGGTTTCGCTCTCCTACCGTACTCAGGGTCCGTTTGGTTGGTCTTTTGGCTTTGGCTTTCGACCCCAAAAGCCAAAAGCCCAACCAAAGGGGCTGCTTTTGGAGACGACTTTTTCAGAAGCAACTGCTTTTCCGCAGTACATTTTTGAAAGCTGATTTGACCCTGCTTTTGGCTTTCTGCTTTTCAAAATTGGTGGAATAAAATGCTTTTCCATAGTTGTTTCGAGAGAGATAAAGATAGAATGTATATTTTATACTTGTTTAACCAAATAGCTTTCAGCTTTTCTACAGCTCACAGCCCACAACAGCTTTTCCATAGTTTTTTTCCCACAGCAGCTTTTTTCCACAGCCACAGCTCAACCAAACACACCCTCGATGGCAAATTCGTACCGAAAGATGAGGTATGTGAAGAGATGGCATACGCTAGCTGCGCTCATCAGTACGCACTGTATGTCAGTGTCAGGAACTCAGGATGAAGAAGATTCTACTCCTTGGCAAACACATACAAAGCGGTAGAGACATTAGAGCAGAGCAGACTGAAAAATGGAAACATGATTGAAATTGGCCCGTTCGCTGGTCTGAAATTTGACTGAAACTGACTAAAAAACATGTTCTAACTAAATTATTGTGAGAGAAAAATATTGTTTCTACTAAAAAAAAAAGTCGAAGTTGAATATAGGGTACGCTGAACAGACATAGTTTCCGGAGAATCGGGATCGAGCGCACGATGATCGACACACCAGACAAATGGCAAGGAACATGGCCCCCCCCAAGACTACGGCAGAGACCGCCAGCGCTGGATGTACTCTAGGAGTACTGCTGTTTGGATTGGATCATCCAAACTGTCCGTCAGTGTCTCTTGTTGACTGGTACGGGGTAGATAAGATCCCATGTCCCCACCGTATCCGGCACGTTGACTTGTCCTCTGTTCAGGACCAGCGTAACATCCCCGCTGGTCTCCAGTTCGCCACCACCAACCAACCAAAGTCCACACTCCACAAAGTTCCCTCAGCTCCCACCAACCCCACGGCGTAAGCGGCAGCGGCGGCGGCGCCATGACCTGGAACAACCCCCCTCCCCCTCCCTCCGACGACGACGCCGACGACGGCCGCCTCCGCGAGCTCGGGTACAAGCAGGAGCTCAGGCGCCACCTCTCGTACGTACGCGAACAACGCCGCCGCCTCTCCGTCCATCTCTGCTAGCTACATCGTCAGCTCGAGCGTTTGTTTGACCATTCCCTGCTTCCTCTTCTTGCTTGCTTTGCCGCCCGCAGGGTGCTGTCCAACTTCTCCATCTCCTTCACCGTCATCTCCGTGCTGACGGGGGTCACCACACTCTACAACACCGGCCTCGCCTTCGGCGGGCCCGCCACCATGACGCTCGGCTGGTTCCTCGCGGGCGCCTTCACCATGGCCGTCGGCCTCTCCATGGCCGAGATCTGCTCCGCCTTCCCCACCTCCGGCGGCCTCTACTACTGGAGCGCCCGCCTCTCCGGCCACCGCTGGGCGCCCTTCGCCTCCTGGATCACCGGATGGTAGGTAGCTACTCTTCCACTGTATGACTTGTTCTTTTTACATTAAAAAAATGGAATCTTTATCTGTGATCATGAAAAATGGTAACTTTATTTGCAATCATGAACGCTGCTTTCATCTTGGCTTGGAGCACTCTTGTTCAGTATGTATGCGTTGACTTGAGAACGTACCATTGTCCTGTTTCCAACTGTTCACTCTGAAACCGCGACCTCAGTTCTTTCTAGCCTCTAACACGTATCGTTTCTTTGCCTGTGTTACTACTTTCAGGTTCAACATCGTGGCACAAGTAAGCAAGCAGAGTATCCCGTTTCTGAATCTCCATTCCTCCAATCAATCAATCTTCAGTCTCAGCTCTCAGCCACTGCTTATTCGATATTCGATCCAATCCACCTCTCTTCTCAATTTCTGCAGTGGGCAGGCACTGCCAGCATCGACTTCTCGCTGGCACAGCTAATCCAGGTGATCATCCTTCTCAGCACTGGGGGCAACAATGGCGGGGGTTACTTGGCGTCAAAGTACGTCGTTTTTGGCTTCCACGCAGGGATTCTGCTGAGCCACGCCGCCATCAACAGCCTCTCCATCACTTGGCTATCTTTGCTCGGACAGTTCGCTGCGCTTTGGAATATGCTAGGTAGTAATGTCTGACTGATGTCTCTATAGACTCTGCATCACTTCAATTGCAAAGGCAAACAAACATATTTTACTAGTATTTACTTTGCTGATGAGATGTGCATGGCATGATATCTGTCTGTCCTGTTTTTTCAGGTGTCTTTATCCTGATGATTGCTGTACCAGTTTTTGCTACTGAGAGGGCCAGTGCAAAATACGTTTTCACCCATTTCAACACGGATAACAGCGCCGGAATCCACAACAACCTCCACATCTTCGTTCTGGGTCTCCTCATGAGCCAATACACGCTGTCAGGATACGACGCATCTGCACACATGGTAACAGAAAGAAAATCCTGCTAGCTAGTGTCATGGAAACTTACTAGTTACTATGGTAATTAAGTAGCACTGTCCTAATAATGAATGTGTTTTGGCTCTATGATATGATGCAGACCGAAGAGACGAAAAACGCAGGCAGGAACGGCCCGATTGGAATAATCAGTGCCATCGGTATATCGTTGGTAGTAGGCTGGGGGTACATTCTTGGCATCACGTTTGCAGTGAAGGACATCCCCTTCCTCCTGAGCCCCGACAACGATGCGGGAGGGTACGCGATCGCTCAGGTGTTCTACCTCGCCTTCAAAAGCCGGTACGGGAATGGTGCTGGAGGAATCGTCTGCTTGTGGATCGTCGCCGTCGCTATATACTTCTGTGGCATGAGCTCGATGACTAGCAACTCAAGGTGATACTCTGCTGAACTTGTCATTGAGATGTCTGAAGAACTCCATAGTGTCGCAACCATGATTGATTACTGCTGATGGCCGCTGCCTTTTGTTCAGGATGACTTATGCGTTCTCAAGAGATGGGGCGATGCCGTTTTCATCCATCTGGCACAAGGTTAACAAGCAAGAAGTGCCGATAAACGCCGTCTGGCTCTCAGCTTTCATTTCCCTTTGCATGGCATTGCCGGTAACTGAACTGAATCTTCCCACTAGTAGCCTTCAGAATTGAGGTTACAGACTTACAGTTCACCTAGCACGCAGCCTCTGATCAGATCAATGCAATGCATGATGATTCACCTTGCTTGTTTGTTTTCTAATCACCCAAATGCAGTCTCTGGGCAGCCTGGTCGCGTTCCAGGCGATGGCATCTGTCGCGACGACCGCGATCTACATCGCCTACGCGCTGCCGATCCTCTTCCGCGTGACGCTGGCGCGCAACCGCTTCGTACCAGGCCCCTTCAGCCTCGGCCGGTACGGCGTGCTCGTGGGCTGGATCGCGGTGCTCTGGGTTGCAACCATCACCGTGCTCTTCTCGCTGCCGGTGTCGTACCCGGTGACCAAGAACACCCTCAACTACACTCCGGTCGCCGTCGGTGGGCTCTTCACCCTGATCTTGTCGTCGTGGATCGTCAGCGCAAGGCGCTGGTTCACGGGTCCCGTCACGAATTTGGGAGGATAGAGTGGTGTTGAGTTGTGTGATTTCAGTAGTATGCAATGCTAGGGGGTGAAGGTTGACTGTTGAGGTGCACGGTTTCAGGTGGTGTATAGTGACTGCTGTTAATTGTAGGATTAGATGTTTAAGAGTGCTGATAGTGCAACAAACAAACAGCAGTTCTTGTACTAGCTCAACACCGTTTGATGTAACGTCATACATTTTTTTCTAGAACATGCTTAGCACGTGTTTCGTTAAGAAGAAGTTTAAAAGCATACACGCCCTACATCACATCACAGTGAGATGCCATTAGTGATGGGGTTGAACACAAACAAAACGCACCGCAGAGCGGTGGAACGCACACTGGTTTGATTAACTAAGAAACTAATTCTACGACCAAAGTGTCGGGTCAGCGCTGCCCACTAGGCATGCTCAATATCGGACAGCACCATGCCCATGCGGGCTCCAGCCATCGGGAACAGCTCATGCATGGCGGCCTGCTTGGAGGCGAAAAGTGGCCCGGCAAATGTTTCATGGAACTTTGCTGCAATGGCCGGATCCGGCGTCTGCGACCCGTTCGCCGGCTCGCGTCTCCACTTGTTGAGAAGGATGCGCTTCGCCTACTTCTCCGGGTTGGGGTCACGGTGGATGGACTTGGCAGCTAACCTGTCACTACGTCTTGGGACGAACACGGAGTCGTCAAGACATGATACACGACGGCACGGGGAGGATGCGATCAGCGGTTCCTCCAGTGGCAGCTTCAGGGATGCGATGAAGCTCTGCAAGGAGGCCACAGGCACTGTAGGTGATCTAATAGTACCGCTGCCGGCTGAGCGCTTGGGGTCGCGACTTGGGCCACCTCATCGGCCACAGTCACAACTATGGAGGGCGCCGAAGATTCCTCCATATCCTCGGCCACAGGCTGTAGTACATCCTCCAGCCCGAGCCCAGATGCGGAGGTGGTGCCGTTGTCAGCCCCCAATGCGCCACAGTTCTCGACGTCTACCCTGGGTTCATCTAGACCTGGAAGTACTGGGCTCTCACAAGCCCCCAGCACTCCCAATGAGGCTGGGGCTGCCGCACCCACCGACAGCGACCCAGGGCGTAGACATACTTCAACCAGCATAGGGTCGAAGGTTCGTTGCGGAGCCTCCAAGCAACGGTCCACAACGAGCTCTGGCTCCCAATATGCTACGCCCCTCCGTTCATCACCTCCCTGCAGAACGACAGCCGGAGAACCCGGCTTTGACATCGCGCCCCACTCACAAGACATGGGGTCCCAAGGGGTGTCAGCCAACTGTGACCTGGTCTCCACCAGGGCGGAAGTGAGGGAGCTAAATGAGGGAACCCACTCCGGCTCCAACGACTGCCCGAAGTCTCCGCCATCGGCACCTTTGGGGAGGGGACCGCTGGAAGGGTCCAAGGAGGCCGAGCGAGCAAACGTCGAGTCATCCACGATGTGCAAATTGGGCTGCTGTGATGACCTCCTCCGCGGCACCCCACGGCGATCGTCGAACGAATGCGACAGCGGGGGACCTCGCCTGCCCTCCCTAGCAACCGTCGCCAGAGAACAATCATGGGCCCGATGACCTTCACGCCGGCAGTTGAGGCATCGCGACGGGAAAGTGCACGCCGCCTTGACGTGATCACCTGCCAGGCAGTTGAAGCATAGGCCTACGAGATTCGAAGTGACTGGCCTTGCCGGCCGTGGCAGCACCCAACGACGGCTGTGCACCTGGCGGAAGCCCTCAGCATTAGGCTCCATGGACATCCTCACGAGGTGGACGATGATAGAGGCCAAATGCCTCTCCGACGCCAGCTCAATGCCTTGCACAGCGCCCACGGAAGCCTTGTTTGCGCCAGATCGACGGGGGCGGTGACTGACGGACCAGGGTCCTAGGGGTTCCCCACGGGTGTAACACCCCAGGTGTTTGTCACCAGTTAAGCAATGGGTTTGAACTCAAACATGACATGTTAAGTGATGATGAAGGTGTCAAGATCAAATCTACAAGAGTGAGCTCCAACTTAAACTTGGACAACACACCCTTACTTACATGTGTAACCTTGTTAAGATTATGCAAGAGTAATGTTAACATGCTTATTTCATGTACATTACATCAACATGCATCCATCTTGACCAGTGGAAAAGTTTCATGAAGTTTGGAGCTAAAAAGTTACATGAAATGATGAGTTACATTCTTTCTTGAATTGCACTATTAAGTGAATGGAATTATAGGTCATCAACCAAAACTTGCTACCTTTCCCAAATGACTCTAATTGAACTCTACAACAAAAGTCATGAAGGGTTCGTGTTGAGCAAATGTCAAGAAAAGGCCTCAATTGGTCGAAAACCCTAATTCCAGGGTTTAACGAGGTACTGCTTTGACCAAGATGAAGAAATGGTTTCTATACCAGATATGAAGTTTGACCATTAATAAAAGTTGAAGTTTGAGTGGAGTACAACAAACTTTATTTTTGGACCAAGACCTGATTCAACTTCTAATTGGCTCAAACAGAGGACTCAAGATGGAATCAGCTGCTGTTTATGGGCTCTAAATAATTCTAAGTCCGGAATTCATCGTCATTGACATTGGCGTTTCGCGTTCTCAGATTTTTGTTAAGCAACTCAAGTTGAGCTAAATATAAAAGTTAGAATATATGTTTTGGAGAAGGACATACAAAAAGTTGGAATCAATTTGACCATGTTTTGACCAAGTAATTCGAGCTCAAGCAGAGAAAGGCTTAATCCTCAATTAGTCGCTGACATTGTCAACTTCGGGCTTAATTAGGTGCTAATGGAGAGCTCTAATGGCCAGGCACCCTTAATGAATTTTGTAGTTCATTAGGTGGGCTGCAACTTCACTTTTGGGCCCAAGGTCCAAATCAGCCTGTAGCTAGCCCAAATCGGCTCCCCACCTCGCCCACATCGACGCGGGCCAGGTGTTCTACGGCGAGCCCCAAAGGGGACACGTGGTTGCCATGATCTCCGCCCCTGCTCCACGCGTCGGGGACACCCTGCCCAAGCCGCGCCGCTGCCAGACGCTGTCCCGCACCGAGGTCCATTCCACGCTCGCCTTCTCTTCCCTTTCTCTCGCTCTCGCCGTCGCTGCCGCTCCTCCATGGCCGCTGCCGCCATGGCGAGCCGCCGGGCAGAGCCCGAGCTGCTGCCGCGGGTGCTGCTCCCTCTCCTCCTCTGCGCAGCTCTACAGCCGCCTGCTCCATCGCCGCACGCCGCTCTCTCGCTAGCGCTGCTGCTGCTGTCGCTCGCGGCCACGCCCGCCATGGACGCTGGAGCAGAGCTCGACGCCGCCCGCGCCTCCTGTCCCCTCTGTGCCTCCTCTGTCCCAACTAGCCTCGCCTTCGCGTTCCTTGAACCGCCCCGTGCGCGCCGCGCCTCTCCTCCGAACGCCTCCACCATTGTGCGTGGCTGCCGCCGGTGAGGCTGCCGCGACCGTCGCTGGCTCGCGTGGCCGGCCCTCCACCGGCTGTCTCCGTCCGCGATTGGACCTCCTATGGGTGCGTCTAGGCACGTTGATGCTCCGGGACCCTTCCTTCGCCGCCGACGAGCACCACGGCGGTCGGAATCGCGAGTTCCGGCGAGCTGCCCTACTTCTGGCCGGGTGAAGAAGAGGAGGGAGCTTCTCGTGTAAATAGGAAGTCTTCCAGGGGGTTAAGTGCAGAATCCAAGACTCATACAAATAGTGTTATTAGGACCTGTTTGCTTGGTTTAATTAAAGTTTCTTGCTGGGTCCTCTGTGCAAAATGTGTTTTTCCTTTATTCCTTTTAATTGGCTGAAGCTTTGAAAAATCCTAATAAATTGTAGAAAAATCTAAAAATAGCAAATGAGGACTTTTTGAAATCCTTGTAAATAGATCTACACATTAGAGTCATAATATGATATGTTTTAGTAAAAAGTTTTCACTGTTTTTATTTATCTATGATAATTAGGGTTTTCTAGGAAGAAATTCATATATAAAGTTGTGGTGCTCCAATTGTTGTGACATTTTTATAGGAAGCCATCGTCTGCCCACCGGCGGAACTTGGAGCGGCCCACCGAGGCACCGCTGGGGTAGAAGGGTGCGGCGTTGGGAGAGAGGAGCAAGCCATGGCCGCTGGAGGCGGAGCAGGCCACCGAATCCTCCCGCGGGCTCGGGATCTGCTGCTGCCCAAATTCACGGGGTGCTGGAGATGAAGCCGGCGGCGGGGGCGGCGACGACGGCGGCGTAGAGGGGCCACAACGCTGGGGAGCAGCCCGCGGAGGTGGAGAGGCACCCAGCGGCGGGGATGAGGGCGTGGCCGCCGGATCTGGTCGTGGCTGGGCCGTGGGGCCGGATCTGGCCCCGCCGGCGGTGGCGCCCGCGCTGCGGCCTCGCACGTGCCGTCCCCCGTGTGCGGCTGGGTAGGGGAGGTGGGGTAGCTGAGGGGAGGGGAGGTGAGGGGGAGGGGGAGGTGGGGGAGGCGGACGCCGGGGCTAGGGCAGCGGTGGCGCGGGGGTGGCCGCCAGGGGCGGGCGGGCTAGGGATAGGAAGCGTGGATCAGTGAGGACTACCTCTTAACAGGTCCTTGTCAAGTCATACTTTAAGGTTTGGCAGGAGAGTTACTTCTCCCCACAGATTTAGCATACATACATACATATAAAGAGTTTACAATTGATGTCTAAGCAAGCATTAAACTTTGATGGCATGGTCAGCTTGAGGCAGGCATACTCGCAGCCGCGTCTCTTCAGAGAAGTTGAAGAAAGCGTCGACATCGAATTCTAGCGCAGCCACCGTTGGCTCCTCTGCTTCGGCTGACAGCATATCCTCCATGACCTTGGCGAAGTCGTCGTCGTCTTCGAGCGTAGCCGGTGCTGCGGTTACTGTTTCTTCATCTGCTTCCGCTGTCCGCATGGCGTCTTCAATTTCCTTGTCAAGTTCGTCCCAGCCGTCTTCGTCTTCGTCTTGAAGGGCAGCAGACACCGTTTGCTCCTCTGCTTCGGCTGTCGACATGGCGTCCTCCAAGGCCTTGACCAAGCCGTCGTCCTCGT